ATGCATTCTGAAGTGGATGTTTTGTTTTCTGTTTTGTTAGTTTTTCCTTATTTCTTTTCTTGCTTTTATATTAGTGCTAACATTGTTTCTAGTTTTTCTGTTGTTGTTCTCTTCTATTCTTGTTTTTATTTCTTCCTTCTTTCCCTGCAGTCTTCCTAATGTTTCCCAAAGTTCACGGAATCTTCCATTGTCCTTGCTTCTAATTTCTTCCTCTTTTTCTACTTCTCTCTTATTCCCTTCAGCCCCTTTTAAGTTTCTCCCCTGAGGGTAAAACTACCACACTGAGGGAAAATTTTCTACATACAATTTTCTGGTTTGTTTTAGATGTTGTTATATAACCACAAATAGAGTCACACAATTAAAATAGCAAATTAATAAGCAGTTTGTCATTTTCTAGGCTGTTTGATGCTACTATTATTGCTGATTGCACCACCTTAGCCAAGGTGGAATAACTATTCTACTCAGTTGCTCTTTCCGGTATGCCAAGACTGAGATTGCCTAAGGTTGAGAAAGAATACTATAGGTCAGCGCCTACCGTAGCAAGGGTTAGGCAGCAACTTCTCATCCTCAATAAATTAAAGAATTAGGATCTTACAACAGACTTGAAACCCAAATGCCAGCTATACCTGGAAGACACTTCTGAGAAAAAGACATTTCCTAAGGGCTCTAAACACTAGAAATAAAGCTATGTACCATAAGCAATTTAAAAGCATTAACCTAGGAATTAAACTAGGCAAGGAAGGAAAGAAGGAAAGAAGGAAGGAAGGAAGGAAAGAAGGAAGGCAGGAAGGCAGGAAGGCAGGAAGGCAGGAAGGCGGGAAGGCGGGCAGGCAGGCAGGCGGGCAGGCAGGGAGGCAGGGAGGCAGGGAGGAAGGGAGGAAGGGAGGAAGGGAGGAAGGAAGGAAGGAAGGGAGGAAGGGAGGAAGGGAAGGAGGAAGGAAGGGAGGAAAAAAGGAAGAGAGGAAGGAAGGAAGGAAGGAAGAAAAGGAAGAGACATGAAAAAAAGAGAGGACACAAGCATGGTATTGGCAAAGAAACAGACCTGAAGATCAATGGAACGTATACTTGATCATTGCCAAAAGGTGGAGAAGCGATCAATGGGACATATTAGAAGATGCAGAAACAACTCCAAACATACTCAGCTATATTATCTTTGACAAAGGAGCCAAACACCTTCACTAGAAGACAGCCTTTTTAATAAATGGTGGTGGAGGGATGGCCAAATAGCTCAGTGGATTAAAGCACCTGCTTGGCACAGGGGCCAGGGGTACTATCCCTGGGCCTGCGCCCCGCTCCCAGGGCGTGCTGAGAC